CTACTGAATAACTCAAAAAAAGAGTTTTATATTGAACAAAATCAATAAAAAAAGATAAAAAGTGTACTTAATTTTTTTATTTCTCATAGTCTTTCTTTTTAGAAAGATAATTCGAGAAAGAGTGACTAGATAAATCTAGGAGATAATAAAAAATAAAGTATTGTTATTCTTTTAAGAAATTTGAAAATGAAAATGAAAAATTAGAAAGTAAAATTTGTAAAAGTTTATGAATGATTTAATGGATGTGACAAAAAAAATTTTAATAAATTCAAATATAAAATTATAATTTTGTCTTTATTATTAAATAATATAAACAATGTATTTAGTTAATGATTATTTTTAAATTTTAGAAATGTAATTCTTATAATAAATTGTTAATAAAATTAATGTGACTTTTTGAAAATAATTTTAATTAAATATTATATTGTAATAAAATAAAATTATTATAAATCAATTATTATTGTGAATAATATTTTTATTATGGGTATTTATAAAATTTTGAACATCCTAAAAAATAAGTAAAATAAGTTATGAAAAAAAATATCTAAATCTTTGCACAGAAACAATAAAAATTAAATTAAATTATAGCAATGAAGAAAAAAATAACTGTATATGTTAATAATTGACTTTCTATCCAAATTCTCCTTTTCTTCTCTTTCAAATTGTTGCAAGTCCCTAGAAGAAAAACAAAAGTATCAAATCATTTATCACATATAATAAATATCCTGAAAAAAAATATTAATTGAAACAACGTTATTTATGAAGATGAAGTGTAGAAAATGAATTTGAGTGAATTTTAAAAAAAATTAATTATAAAAATACAACATTAATCTATATAATCTCATTTTTATCTTTAATTTTTCTAAATCCACTCATTGTTATTCTTGAAATTGATCCTTTACATCCAAAGACAAGCCATTTTCAAAATAGAAAAGATAGACTAACAAGGTAGGCAATTTAATACTTATAATTCAGGGAAGAAAAAGAGCGTCTAGTTGTATATCCTACAATTCAACCCCTTTCCTCGATGTCATAAATCATAATAATTCCTTAACCGCGTCAAGTTCCTTATTATTTCTCTTTCCTTC